GTTATTCTACTCTTGGTTCCCTCCAGAGTGTTTTTGATCTCATTTATTGCATTATTCATTTTTAATTGACTCTTTTTTATTTCTTCGAGGTCCTTATTAAACATTTCTTGCATCTTCTCAATCTTTGTCTCCAGGCTATTTATTTGTAACTCCATTTTGTTTTCAAGATTTTGGATCATTTTTATTATTGTTATTCTAAATTCTTTTTCAGGTAGATTCCCCATCTCCTCCTCTTTTGTTTGACTTGGTGGGCATTTTTCATGTTCCTTTACCTGTTGAGTATTTCTCTGCCTTTTCATCTTGTTTAGATTGGTGTGTCTGGAGTGGGCTTTCTGTATTCTGGAGGTCTGTGGTTCCTTTTTATTGTGGAGGTTTCACCCAGTGGGTGGGGTTGGACGATTGGCTTGTCAAGGTTTCCTGGTTAGAGAAGCTTGCGTCGGTGTTCTGGTGTGTGGAACTGGATTTCTTCTTTGTAGTGCAATGGAGTGTCCAATAATGAGTTTTGAGATGGGTCTATGTGTTAGGTGTGACTTTGGGCAGCCTGTATGTTGACGCTCAGGTCTATGTTCCTGCGTTGCTGGAGAATTTGCATGGTGTGTCTTGCTCTGAAACTTATTGGCTCTTGTGTGGTGGTTGGTTTCAGTGTAGGTATGGAGGCTTCTGGACGGTCTCTTATTACTTAATGTTCCGTGTAGTCAGGAGTTTTCTGGTGTTCTCAGGTTTTGGGCTTAAGTCTCCTGCCTCTGGATTTCAGTTTTATTCTTCCAGTAGTCTCAAGACTTCTCCAACTATACAGCACTGATAATAAAACTTCTAGGTAAATGGTGAAAAGATTCTCCACCCTGAGGGACACCCAGACAGGTTCACAGAGTTACATGAAAAAGAGGAGAGGGAGGAGGGAGATAGAGATGAGCAGGAGGAGAAAAAGGGGGCTCAAGAGGAGAGAGACAGATCTATGCAGTTGTCTGTTCCCAGAGTGTTCTCCGTAGCCCAGACACCAACAAAGATTCACAGAATTGGATTGGGAAGAGAAGGGGGAGGGAGGAAATAGAGGTGTTCTGAGGAGAGAGTAATCAAGACACTCCTGAATAAAAATGGGAACTGAACATTGGATTCTTAAATGTCCAAAATTTATATCACATACTGAAAAACAAAGATTAAAAATCTAGAGTAGAGGTTAGACTCTTAAAAATACATTAAAAACAAAAACAAAAAATTTTAGTATATATGAAGTTCAGTTTAAAAACAGGGCTTCTCTCTTTTTATTTTTGCAAGGTTATAGTGAAATGAAAATGAAAATTAAGGAGTAGTAGAGGAGTGATAGAGGACTTTAAAAGAAAATAAGAGGAAAAAAAATTAAAAAAATTTTTTTCCTAATTAAAAAAATCCTAAAAATATATGGAAATGAAAGTGAAGGAGCAATGGGGGAATAATAGGGAATTTTAAAAGAAAATAATAGAGAAAAAATAAAAAAGAAAAGAAAAATTTTTTTAATTAAAAAAAAAGGAAAAAAAATATATCTAGGAATTTCTCTGGAGCTGTTGCAGTCAGTGTGGGTTCGGTTCAGTTGTAGATAGCTCCTAGTTCCAGTTTACACTTCTCAATATCTTTAGGCCCCTTCCGGTGTAGTCGGTGTTACCTACAGGGATTTTAATCTGTTGCACCAGTGCCTTCTGAAGCAGTTCCCTTTGTTTATTTGGCTTCTGTTTGCCGGTCTCTTCAGTGTCTAATTTCCGCCCTGACACAGGCAGGCGGAGGTGGTCTGTTGTTCAGGTTCGCTAGTTCAGTCCTGCTGCGGGAAGGGAGGGGCGCTGCAGGCAGATATCACTGTGTGTGGGGAGCACTCACAGAGTTCGGCCACACTGGGTTTGCCCCGCTCACGGGTGTGTGCTCTCCCCGTCTATGCTGCTCAGGCTCCCGGCTGCTCTATGTGGAACATTCCCTGTGTTGCTTGCGGTTCCAGTTTTCGGATATTCCACAAAAGCGCGGACTCGGTTGCGCCTGCGTTTTGTTCCTTCCCTGGCCGAAGCAGCTCAGGCAGCCAGGTACTTGACGGGTGCACTCTCCCCGGATGCGGTGCGCCTTCTCCCCTCCACGGTTCCAGCCTGTTCCTGCCCACGTGGGCCTTGTGTTTAGCCGCGACCCTCCCTGCGGATGTCGACCATCCAGAATTCTCAGGAAGTCTTTGGTTAGAAACTGTAGGCCTGTTTGCAGTGTGGTAGGGGGTGCCGTCTCTGGGGCCGAGTTTGCCCCTTTCCCCTCCCCACTGCCTTCTGCCTCCGGCAGGGATGGCCGGTCCGCAGCCGGCTAGCTCCTCTGGACTTGCTCGGTCCCTTTGTTCTGTGAACGGCCTGCAGTGTGTTCGGGCCGGTTAATTTTCTCTCGCTCTTTTGCTATCCCACAGTAAGTTGCTATCTCACAAAAGCTCCCTCTGATTGCCCTCAGGGCACTCAGGCCCGGTCCTTGCCGCCCGTCCTTACCCTAAGCAATGCCGCCCCCACTTGCTGGTGGCGGATGGCGGATGCGGGCGTCTGGGGTACTTTTCTGCTGGGAGTTGCTTTTAGGCACATAATCTGTGGGTTTTATTTATTTTTCCTCCCAGTTAGGTTGCCCTCCGAGATTTGAAAACTTCCCCCAGAACCGCCGGTGCGAGGGTTTCTTGGTGTTTGGAAACTTCCTCTATTAAGACTCCCTTCCCGGGACGGGTCTCCCATCCCTAGCTCTTTTGTCTCTCTTTTTATCTTTTATATTTTGTTCTACCTCCTTTCGAAGACAATGGGCTGCTCTTCTGGGCGCCTGATGTCCTCAGCTAGCGATCAGAAGTTGTTTTGTGAAGTTTGCTCAGCGTTCAGTTGTTCTTTCGATGAATTTGTAGGGGAGAAAGTGGTCTCCCCGTCCTATTCCTCCGCCATCTTGGCTCCTCCCCCCAATAGTGACTTTTAGAATGTTTGTAAGGTACTTATCACAGTACCTAGCATATGAGTGCAGGTTATCCTAAGTATTAGGCATTCTTTTTGTTATTATTTTATTGATAATGATTTTTTTAAAAATATCAGTTGAGATTCCAGAAGAATTTCCCTGGAGGCCATTGTAATCTTGTTTCAAAACGTTAGTAATAGTTGCTGCCAACAGGAAAAATAAGCACAGTCTGATATGGACAAAGTCCATGATTTATAGGTGTAAGGTTGTAGGCTTTGCTATTCTCAAATTTATTGAAAGTGTATACTTACAATGAGAGTTGACTCTTAAAAATACATTGGGGAAGGTTAGCTTCTTCATTCTCAACTCAGTCTTCCTTCCTGTGTAGCATCAGTTGGAGCTGAGTAAAAATCATGAATAAAGTGATTTATTGTTTGCTGTGGCATTTTAGCACTGTCTGCAAGCTGGTTTACAAATTACTATTTCTTGGGGAACGTATTGCCCTTTTTATTACAGTAGAAAATGAGTGCTAAAAAAGTCATCTTTTTAACTTCTATTTTTGAAGCTTGTGTGTTCTATTTTTTTTTTTAATAATTTTATTTTTGTCTGTGCTGGGTCTTCACTGCTGCACAGGGTTTTCTCTAGTTTCAGAGAGTGGGGATTGCTTTCTACTTGTGCGTGGGCAGCCCTGGGGTGGCTGCTCTTGTAGAGCATGGCTCTAGAGCACGTGCTGAGTTGCTCTGCAGCATGTCAGATCTCCTGGATCAGGGATCAAACCTGTGTCTTCTACATTGGCAGATGGATTCTTTACCCCTGAGCCACCAGGGAAGCCTTGCTCTTCTTTTTTGCACACTCTCTTTTCTTCTCTTCTTTTTGCCAAATACTCTTGGTTTTCATCGCTGAGTCTTTACAAGTGCACAACTCTTTTTAAACAGGATTTGCTGGGGAGGCTGAGTGATATCTTAACTTCTCATGTATAGTTTACAAAGTTTATTGTGAGGAAAAATACTGTTTTTTAGGTTCGATGCTGCCAAGTTTGTTATGAGATGGCTCTGTAAGCATGAAGACCCCAAGATGCAAGCCATGGCAGTGAGCATAATCTCTATTCTTGCCCTGCAGGTATGTGGTTGCTAAATGCAAGACTTCTCTTTCCCTAGTCTTAGTGGAGCATTGATGGAGTTTGAAACATCTCACTCTCTGCTTTTTTCTAGCTCTCACCTGAGCAAACTGCACAACTTAAAGAGGAGGTTTTCATGGCAGTTAAGGTAGGTTGTCACTTTTAGAACTTTTTTTTAAATAAAAGTAAGTTTAAAAAATTAGAAACAGTTTAAAAGTTTTGTAAAATGAACAATCTGTAGGACCTGCTACCTAGAAGAAGCTATTCTCTACTTTTAAATAGCTGTTTCTTCCGGCATTTATCTCCGTATTTCTAAATAAAATGCTTATAACTGCAGCTGTGCTGTCTTCGTTGCAGTGTGAGCATTCTCTAGTTGCGACATGTGGGGGCTTCTCTTGTTATTTAGCTCAGCCTCAGGAGTTGTGGCATTCAGGGTCTAGAGCATTTGGGCTCTCTATTTGCAGTGTGCAGGCTTAGTTGCTCCATGGCATGGGAGATCATAGTGTACTCACGCCTCTCCACCACCACCAGAGATTGAATCCATGTCCCTTGCATTGGAAGGTGGATTCTTGAGCACTGTACCACCAAGGAAGTACTGCAGTTCCTTGATTTATCAATTTTAGATGTTACCTCCTGATTCTGCTGCTCTCAGTTCAGTTCAGTTCAGCCCCTCAGTCGTGTCCAACTCTTTGTGACCCCATGAACTGCAGCACGCCAGGCTTCCTGTCCGTCACCAACACCCGGGGCTTGCTCAGGCTCATGTCCATTAAGTCAGTGATGCCATCTAACCATCTCATCCTCTGTTACCCCCTTCTCCTCCTGCCTTCCATCTTTCCCAGCATCAGTGTCTTTTCCAGTGAGTCAGTTCTTCGCATCAGGTGGCCAGAGTATTGGAGCTTCAGCTTTAGCATTAGTCCTTCCAATGCATATTCAGGACTGATTTCCTTTAGGATTGACTGGTTTGATCTCCTTGCAGTCCAAGGGAGCCTCAAGAGTCTTCTCCAGCACCACAGTTCAAAAGCATCAATTCTTTGTGGTTAGTTGTTGCAAACTTCTTGGTGTCAGATCCTTTGTTCTTGCGGTTGGGTCATGGTGAGGTAGCGATGTTTCTGTAAATCTCCACCAACAAATGTTATTCTGTTTTATAAGAAAGGGCAGGGTCCCTAGGCAAAAATTTCACCCTCCAAGATCCAAGTCCTAGCTATGAGGCGGGGGTTCCTGCAGGGGTCAGTTACCCTGACACAAAGCATTCATCCAGCACCCAGTCTGGGTTCTCTTGCCAGTGTCCAGGCCTGGCTGAAAAGGTGCATCTCAGTTGGCATCTCCCTCAGAGCCAGGTCTCCAGACCCTGCCCAGTTGTCATCTCTTAGGGAGCCAGGTGCCCTGGAGCCACCCCTTCCTCAAACTCCTCAGGCTGTCCAAGTGGTAGGGGCCAGGTCCCACAAACTTCATCCTATACAGGCTGCCACTGCTATTAGGTCACAGAGGCGGGGATGGGGGAGAGAGTCATTACCACCTCAGGCCTGTCTCTGCCAGTGTGTGGCCTTGACAAGGGTTCTGTGTCCCTGTAGGACACATGCCTCAGCGTGTTCTCTGGGCCCCCCAGTGATCCATGGCTGGGTGAGCTGGAGGCTCCAGGGAAGAAGCAGAGATCCACCTCTTACCTCACTCTGCACAGGCCGACCACCACTCTGCCTACCGTTGGTTGAATGGTCGCTCATCGGCAGTTGCTTGCTTGTGGGAGGGACCTATTGCCCTGCCGACCAGTAACTGAGCAGGATCACTAATGGTCACTCATTGACAGTTGCTGAGTTTAGGGAGGGGCCCACTTCACCACCAACCCATGGCTGAGCAATCATTAACAGTCTTTTGGTAACCATTGTCTGGTAAGGGGGAAAGTGGGGGCTAATGGCTGCAGCACTGGCTGCATGCTAAGGGCTGTGCACAGCCATGCTGTATTACACTTTTGGTTCTTGTAGCTTTATTTTTGTGAATTCTCTAGATATATTCTCTCTGGCTGTATAAATATTTGAGGTGGAATTAGAGCATTGCCAAGCACAGATCTTAGCACGTGGCCATCACTGTGTACTGTTACTGTGCACCCTGTTACCAGCCATTGATTGGTGCTGCAGTGGGCCCTCCCACAGCGGCCAACTGTCAGTGAGTGACCATTAATGGTCCTGCTCAGCCGTTGGTTGGCACCAGGCCCCTCCCACAGGCAACCAGCTGTCAATGAGTGACCATTAGTGGTCCTGCTCAACCATTGGTTGGCAGCAGGCCCCTCCCACAAGCAACCAACTGTCAATGAGTGACTGTTAATGGGCCCATTCAGCAAACAGTCATCAGGGGGAGAGTGAGGTAAGAGGTAGATTGGGGGTTTTTTCCCTTGGGACCTCCAGCTCACCCAGCTTGGGCCCTTGGGTGAGCTGGGAGGCTCAGGAAACAGGCTGGGGGCTGTGTCCTGCAGGGCTCTAGAACCCTCGCCAAGGCCACCCACTTACCTTCGCCCAGGCCTTGAGGCAGCAGTGAACCTCTCCCCTGTCTCTACCTCTTGACCTAATGGCAGTGGCAGTCAGCATAGGATGCAGTTGGTGGGACCTGGTCCCCACCATACAGGTGGCCTGAGGAGCCTGAAGGCCAGTTGGGCGCCTGCTTCCTCAGCGATGATGGCCGGACAGGGTCTGGGGACATGACCCTGAGGGAGTTGCCAACTGAGGTCTGCCTCTTCAGCCAGGATCTGGACCTCAAAGGGTGAAATTTTTGCCTCGGGACCTAGCCCTTTCTTGTCAGGACAGAGAATAATATTTGTTGGTGGAGATTTACAGAAACACCTTACCTGACCATGACCTGACCTCAAGAACAAAGGGTCTGATACTAGGTCCTTTGTGGAAATGGCTGTCTCTTTCCTTTTACATGATAGTCTAGCATGTTTGAAAGAAAGCATGAATACTAGCTTAACTTTGATCTAGAAATATTCTAATATGAAATGGTATGTTGAAATGTGTTAAAGTAGTTTTTTAAAGCTGTTAGGACATACGATTATAATAGTGTTATCCTCTAGCCATGCTAACCTGCGTAGTGGTATAGAACAGACGTTTCTTCCTCTAGAATATCTCCCCGCGCTGCTCCTCCCATTCCCTGTGTCCTCATTCCTTGCTTAGTTGCCTTATCCTCTTTTTCTTCTGGTCTCAGTTTAGATACTACCTTTGTATGTGTTACTGAGTGCAAGCACAAGCTTATTCTGTTTGCCACACAACAGACCAGTCAGGAGCTGAGTTGATGGAATAGGAAATAATGATTTTAATCAGATAACTAGCCAACTAAGAAGATGGCAGACTAGTGTCTCAGAAACCATCTTGCCTCAGGAACTCCCCTGGTGGTCCAGTGATTAAGAATCTGCCTTGCAACGCAGAGGAAATGGGTTCAATCCCTGCTCGGGGAACTAAGATCCCACATGCCATGGAGCAATTAAACCAGCGTATGCCTCCCGCTGAGGCCTGCCACCACTTAGAAGGTCCTTGTGCCTCAATGAAAGAGGTACAACAAAGGTCATGCATGCTAAGAGTTGATATTGCAAAATAAATAAATATTAAGAAAATAGTTTTTAAAAGAACCAAACCCATCTTAACCCAATCTTAACTGAGGTAAGATTTGGACTCCTTTTATCTACAGGAGGGGAGAGGGGCTCACTTGGCACTGACCAGTGGCTGAGCAGGATCACTAATGGTTGCAGGTTGACAGTTGCTCTCTTTAGGAGAGGGGCCCATGTTGTGCCAATTGGTGGCTGAGCAGGGCTGCTATAGCTTGCAGCTGCCTTGCTGCCGGTACACTCCGAGCAGAACACTGCAACATCAGAAAGCGGCCAGGTCTGAAGATCTGCCAGATCAGTCCAGTGGTAACTCTGGGCGGGGTGAAACACAAGGCGCATAAGCAGTGGAGACCACAGTGGCCACGTGGAGGCAGCTGGCACGTCCATCCCTGGGATCGCTGTCTGAGGCGGGGCGCTGTGGGTTCAGCCCATACTGACTTCACTGGGCAGCTTGTGACTGAAGAGGTGGCCCAGGTGTGAGTGTCCCCAGAGTGGAGCTCTAGCCTGCCCACCTGTGCAGTGGGTAGGCGGCAGGCATGGACCAGTGGGGTCTGTGTCGCCGCGTGCAGAGAGGTGTGGTGTGGTGCAGCAGCCCCTCCCTAGATGGCTGGTGCCAGGGATTGGGGAGGGAAGGGCCCATCACACTTTGGGAAGGTTGCTGTTACGTTTGGAGGTTTCTCACACCTTTTCTAAAGAAAATTCTTTTATGTGTTTCCTTCAGAGCATTTACCAAATTTTAAAACTTTTATTTAGTTGAAAAAAACCAATTATCTTTTCTTTTTAAATGTCTCTCTTACCTGAATATGTGCCTGCCTTCCAAAAGGTGTTGACTAGATACTCTTAATAGATGAATAATGGAATAGCTAATATGTTCTTGATTATGAGGCTTATTAACAAGCATGACAAACTAGATTAAGTGATTGTTAAACTTCAATAGTTTTTTTCTTTTGAGCCTCACAAAAACCCTAGGAAATAGGTGTAACTCATTTTACAGAGAGAAGGTAGGAACCAAAGCTATTAAGTGGTCAAACTGGGTTTAGAACCTCTGTTTGATTCTAAAGCTTTTCTTAACCATTGCTTTCCTTATATTGGAAATACATGAGTTAGTCATCAGAGTATCATTCTCTTTCTTTTTTAGGAACTTCTAGCAATAGTAAAACAAAAGACTGCTGAGAGTCTAGATGATGTCACCCTCTTGTTTACTTTGAAAGCACTTTGGAATCTTACAGAACAATCTCGAGCTGCTTGTAGGCACTTTATTGAAAATCAAGGATTGGCAATCTTCATCCAAGTCTTAGAGGTGGGAAGACAGGATTGAGTTTATCTGTAAAGTTGTTTTCTTCATGATAAAATAACCTGTATATTCTTTTCACAGACTTTTTCAGAGACAGCAATACAAAGCAAAGTACTTGGTCTTTTGGTAAGGTGAAGTGTTTTGAGTTAATGTAATTAATTAAACAATAAGAAAACTAATACTTATGTGTTACTTACTATGTGCTAGGCACTTTTGTAAGCAGTTTACATTAACTTGTTTGATCTTCACACCATCTCTATAAAGTAAATACCACTATATATGAGTCAGCTATTGCTGTAAACAAACTACAGCTTAAAACAGCATCCATTTTATTTACTTGTGAATCTGTGGGTCAGCAGTTTGAACTCGGCTCAGCTGTGCAGTTCTGCTGGTCTTATGTGGTTACTCATGTCACTGCAGTCATTGGTGGCTGAGCTAGACCTAAGTGCTCTAAGATGATCTTGACTCTCATCTCTGACAGTTGGTGCAGGCTGTTAGCTGGGCCTTGTGTGTCTATGAGCTTCCTCACTTGGCGGTTTCACGGCAGTGGTAGAAGCAAGTTCACTGTACAAGTGCTTCTTCAACTTCTGCTAATGTCAGATTTTCTAATGTCGCACTGGTCAAAAGCAGCTTATACAATCTGGGGTGTTTTCCAACAACCACTTTTCCGGTTCTCTGACACCAGCTGGATTCCTACAGTTCGATTCAGTTAAATTCTGTCACTGACTATCGGGCATTAGCATCAGATCCTAAAAAAGCTGAGTTCCACAAGTCTGCCTCCACTTTAGTTGCCAACTGTTAAGTCCAACTACCCCTACTTCTGACTGACTTTAAGTTGAGGGATTCCACAACCCCTTCCTCAGGTTGGTGATTTGCTGGAATGGCTCACAGAACTTGGGAAGGCACTTTATTTGATATTTTTAAAAAATATATATTTATTTGACCGTGCTTGGTCTTATTTATGGCCTGTGGGATCTTCATTGCGGCATGCAAGATCTTTAGTTGTGGCATTGTGGAATCTAGTTGCAGTATGCAAACTCTTAGTTGCAGCATGTAGGATTTAATTCTCTGACCAGGGATCAAAACTGGGCTCCATGCATTGCAAATGCAGAGTCTTAGCCACTGGACCACCAGGGAAGTCCCAAAGGAAAGATTTTTTTTTGTCTGTACCCCACATGGCACAGGGGAACCTTTATTTCCCAGCCAGGGATTGAATCACTGCCCTTTGCAGTGAAAGTGCAGAGCCCTAACCACTGTGTGTTGGTGCTAAGTCGCTTCAGTCATGTCTGACTCTTTTTGACCTTATGGACTAGCCCTCCAGACTCCTGTCCATGGAATTCTCCAGGGAAGAAAACTGGAGTGGGTTGCTGTGCCCTCCTCCAGGGGATCTTACCAACCCAGGGATTGAACCCACGTCTCTTACTTCTACAATGACATGCAGGTTCTTTACCACTGGTGCCACCTGGGAAGCCCCCCTAACCACTGTACTGCCAGGTAACATCCCCTGCTATTTTTAATTATTATAGATACAACTCGGAAAAAGTCAAATGAAAGATATGTTGTCTCTAGCAAGAAACTCTTATTCCTTCAGCCACAAGGAAATGAACCCTACCAACACTCTGAGTGAGCTTGGAAGTAGTCTCCCCACCCCCACCTCACCCATTGGAGCCTCCAGATGCGAGCATGCAGCCCAGCCAGCACTTTGACTGCAGGCTTGTGAAACCCAGCTAAGCAAGGCCCATAGAAACTGTGAGGGGACAAATGTGTGTTGTTTTAAGCCACTGAGTTTGTGTTAAATTTGTTACACAGCATCGAAAACTAATATAGTACATAAAATAATGAAACTCCTACCTGCCTTTCATTGTTACCGTTAAAACTGATGTAACATATAGTGGGCCCCCAGGAATGTTAAGTTTTTGAGTCAGACCTGGATTTGTAATCTACTCCAACCAGATGTGAAGCTGACAAGTTACTGTTTCTGAGTGTCAGACTTCTTTGTAGGACTATAAAGATTAAATGAGATGAGGCAGATAAAAAAGACATGATAAGGCATATAAAAAAGATATTTCAGTCTATCTAAGCGCAGTGCCTGGCACTTAGTAAGTGCTTCCTCAATGATTTGTTCTTACTAATTATCATCAAGAGGATGGGTTTGTAGTAGATGTGAGGCTAAATCAGAGGGGAGGAGGGGAGATTGAGTGTTCTTATATGTATCTGAGCTCAGCAGTAATAGAGGGAGAGAAACCAGTTCCTGATATTCTCTACTCCCATCTGCTCCATAGAACAACATTGCTGAAGTCAGAGAACTCTTTTCCAAGCTGATTACTGAAGATGTGGTAAAGCATATCAGCAGCTTGCTCCATAGCAAGGAATTGGAAGTCAGCTATTTAGCTGCAGGCATCATTGCTCACCTGACATCTGACAAACAGCCCTGGATATCATGTGACCTCCAGAGGAGAGCGCTTCTCCAGGATCTGGTATAAGGACTTCCTCTTTATAAAATCCAGAATCATCTCTTCTTGCAGAAAACTTATTTTTCTAGATCATAAGAGTTTTTGAAATAAATTGTAGAAAATGGGAAAAATAGAGAAAAATATAAACAAAACATTATAAATCATCCACACATTACCACCCAAAGCTAACCTCTATTAACATTTTTTTGCATTCCTTCTGATACTTTCCTTTTATAAAATTAAGCATGCAAACAGCTTATATAGTTTATTCTACTTCTGTTTCCCACTTTCAGCTCTTGTTAAAGCTGTTTCTTTTGGTGTTTACTTTCTTATCTCTAACACATGTTGTTATGCCTTGACTTTGTAGTTTTAGACATTGTCAGTTTATTTCCCACTTGGGAAAATGAAAATTCCCAGTGCACACCCTTTCTTGTACTCCAAGTACATGTCTCCTTTCAGTACATTCAAACATTCTGTCCACGTCAGCTTCCTTCCCAAGCCTCTGTTTTTGTTCCATCTGTTAGGTGTATTTGTTAGATATATTTTGTGTATCTGTTAGGCCACTATCATTGCAGGAAGTTCCTTTACTGTCGTCCTGAAGATTCTCTTTGCTCTCTCATGTTGGATTCCCTGTTTCCTGGATTGCATACCTTCTTGTTCTTTGGTTTACGCCCTCATTCTGTTGGGTGATATCCTCCAGTAGCTTCCTAAGAGATATATGAAAAGAAAATTTGAAACCTTTTATATTTGAAAGACCTTTATTTTACATTCACCTTTAGTTGATCAAATGGCTGGATATAAAACTCAAGTACTGAAATATTTTCCTTTCACATTTCTAGGTCATTGCTCCATTGTTTGTTATTTCTTGGTATCACTGTTGAGAAGTCCTGTGCCATTTTTCTTTGGAAGCTTTAAGATCTTTGTCTTTATTGTTTGGAAACCTCAGTGATGTGCCTTGATATGAGTTTATTTTCATTTGTTCCTTTGGCTACTTACTTCTCTGGAATCTTGTTTTCCTTCAGTTCTAGGAGATTTCTTTCTAACCTTTTCATCCCTCCATCCCTTCTTCCTCTTTTATTTTTACTTCCTTTCTTACTTCTTTACTCTTTTTCTCCCTGCCTCCCTCCCTTCCTTAATTCCTGTTCTCCTGGTTGAAAATCATAAGCTTGGCTCCCAACAGTCTAAACACCCATAGAAGGATAGAGTTGCGGGCAGGGGCACCTCAGCATTTAGTATTTAGATTTTTCACTTCAGCCCCCTGTTTTTAGTGTGGTATTTCCAACCTCAATTGTTCATGGGGTTGCCCAGTCCAAAAATTTTTGTAAGGGGTGGTAGAGGAGATCTGGGAGTCTTGATTCTTTGGTACTTTCAACCAGTCCTCCTATTTTTAACCCTACGTGTAATCTCACTTCCTGAAGTACTTTGTATGCCCAATTTTTAAGTCTGTTAGGGGTTCTGTTCAAAATAGTTTTTTTTTTTTAACCTTCCCCAGTGCTAGATCTATTAAATCACTTACCATTTTTCTTCTGCTTTGTTTCATGTGTGTTTATCTTCTTTTAAACCATTTGTACTGTTCCATCATGCTCAGTCTTCCATCTTTAAACAGAAGTCCCTTTCTGTTGTATTGTTTTCTACGTGACTTTCTTCATATTCTGCATATGTAATGGCTGTCTAATTAATAGTTGGTTGGCTAGATATACCTAAATTTGAGTAATCAATCCTTGATTTTGAAAATTTATATTGTTTCATATGTATGTAATTATAAATGACATGAAATAATACTAGAATCTTGATTTCTCTTTTTGTATAGTATACAACCATCCAGAATTGGCCAAGTTCAAGTTGTAAGATGACAGCTTTGATCACTTATAGGTAATTTCATGATGGCGTAGTGCTTCTCTTAAAGCTTGTCCTCAGTCTGCTCACTATGTAGAGGCCGTGGTACAGGGATAAAATATTAGAATCAAATAACCTTATATTCAAATCCGATTTCTTTGTGATACTGGTAAAATCACTTTAAGAAAATCTCTGAGACTTAGTTTCTGTCATCTGTAAAATGAAGCTGGCAGTGTGCAATATTGAGGGTGGAATCAGCTATTGAATGTATAGTGTCTAACTCAGAATATAATTTCTTAAATGCTGGTTCCAGTTATATGCTCAGCAATACATCTGTCTTTTTTTTTTTTTTTAATCTCGTATCATTTTACTTGTCTTCAAGAAAAGTGATGACAAAATTATGACTATAAATTTGGGTAGGGAAATAAAGGGAATATTTAGTATGAGAAATCATAACAAATTACAAATTATAAAATGCTAAAACACCACAATCATCACAAAATCTAGAATAATATCCTAATATATTCATTAATGAAATTTCTGACAGACATCTATAATCATTTTTCTTACATTTCTGGCAGCAAACTCTTTGTTTGCTCTCTTTTTTTTTAATTTAATTTTATTTATTTATTTTTTCCATTTATTTTTATTAGTTGGAGGCTAATTACTTTACAATATTGTAGTGGTTTTTGCCATACATTGACATGAATCAGCCATGGATTTACATGTGTTCCCCATCCTGAATCCCCCTTCCACCTCCCTCCCTAAATACATCTGTCTTAATGAAGAATTGACTCTGGGGGTGTTGGCGGGGATGTTGAAAATTCTTATATCCCTGATGTTAGGCTGAGTTCTGAAGAAACATCTTCTTTGTACTTATTTAGATCCTTCAAGGCATTTTTCCCGCTCCTTGGCAACTTTTCTCAACCAGAAGTTCAGCTCTGGGCACTATGGGCCATGTATCATGTCTGCAGTAAAAACCGTATGTATTTAAAAATAACCATTTTTTAGCTTTTTTTTTTGTATAAGGATTAAGTTCAAGATGGAATTTTGAAAAATTGTTCTCTTATGTCCTGATTTTAACACTTTTTACGAAGAAACTAAAGAGCTTTTGTATTAGTATAAAAAATGCTACAGAATTATAATTTATTTGGGGATGGATGGTAAGCAATACAGAAAGTGAAAGTGTGCTCCCGCTCCTATTCCCCACAGGCAAGCACTGTTTATTAGCTGCCTATAACTGTCCTTCCAGGTAATTTTCTGTATATATGCTATAGTTATTATATGCTGTACATGCATATGTTTTTAGACAAAATGGGCTCATTCTGTGCGTGTTATCTTATAGCTTTCTCTTTTTCACTGAATAGTTTATCATAATACTATCTTTCCTATAAGTAATACATAGATTTGCCTCTTTGTAGTGGTTTGTGGGAGACTGGGGGGCCAGATGTCAGGAGTTGTTTCTCAGGCAAATTAAATGTTCTTCCACATTTGTTGCTTTAAATTCCTCTTGGGAATTCTTGGCTTTTTTCTTTGCTAAGAATACTACTAAAATTTTTGCTTGTATTATAAAAGAATTATAGACTTTAATTCTGTATAAAAGAATTAAAGAATTTGTATTATAAAAGGAATTATAGACTATAATTTTATGCTGAAAAATCTAAAGGTATAACTTTTAGAATTAATGAAATGTTTAACTATCAAAAGTATAAACTATCTTAAAATAGCTTTAACAAGTATTGGGACCAATGTGCAAAAAAATCTAGGAAATAATTTATAGACTGAAATAATTATGGACATATTATACTCCTCAGTTCTTTTCTATTCACATATATAATACAGTTCAAGTGAATGAGTACAGTAAGTGATGAGGAATTTGAAGGTTATTCTAAAGCTAAAGTGACAGAATAATTAGGAAAGAACTGATAGAGAAAAATGGTTTTTAGGAGCTTGCCCTAACACTTCTCTTCATTTTTGGCTACACCCACAGCATGTGAGATCTTAATTCCCCCAGGAGGTATTGAGCCCGGGCCCCTACAGTGCAATCTTGGAGTCCTAACCAGTGGACCACCAGGGGAAAAAACACACACACACACACACACACACACACACACTGTATATATTTAGCAAAGATGCATCTATCTGGTGATTAAGAGAACAGACCCCAGAACCAGACTATTTGAACTTTACTCCCTTTCTCCATTTACTAACTGTGGGAGCTTGAGCAAGTTACTTAACCTTTCTGTGCCCCAGTTTCCTCATCTGTAAAATGGGGATCCAAGTATCTGTTCTATAGGACTGTTATGAGAATTAAATGAGTTAACATTTGCAAAGCATATAAACATTGCTTGGCTTATAGTATTAGCATTTGCACATAGTATACTATTAGTACAAGCATAGTACACAGTATTTGTTAAATACATCACTTTATGAGTATAATCTGCAGAGCTGAGTCAAAATATTATGAATGTTTATAATTTTGGTGGGTATTGTTAAATTGTGTTCCAGAGAGTTGATTACCGGTTTGCATTCCTATCAGCAATATATGAGAGCTTGCAGTTTTCTTTTATTCTTGCAAAAACTTTTTAGTTGAATTTTTGATCTTTGCCAATCTGAGGTGAAAGTGATTCTAACTTGACATTTATTTTAAGTAAGGTTAACTGTCTTTTCTTACATTTGGATTGTCTGTTGGTTTCCGTTGCTTGCTTTTTGTTTACTGTTTTTTTGATCTTTTTCTTTTTAATTTGAAGGAACTCTTCCAAATATTTTTTTCCAGTGTATTGTCTTGATTTTATTCATTGTTTTTGCTAGTCATTATTTTGTTTTATGGCCTCTGGATTTCAGATCATGGTTATACCTTACAAAGTCAATGAACATTTTCAGAAATTTTCTTTGAAAATATTACCCTCCAGCTATTCTATTCCTTTCTTATAACATTTATCAGAAATATCTTATACCTTCTCTCAATCAGTCCTACATATCTTGTAACCATTACAAAGAAAAAGTATCCATGTCTTTGTTTCTTTTTACTGCATTCTTGGTTGTCTTGTTGTGTGTTTTTTTTCTTTTTAAGATTTTTATTGATATGGACCATTTTAACTCTTTATTGAATTTGTTACCATACTGCTTCTGTGTTTTTTGTTTTAATGTTTTGTTTTTTTGGCCATGAGGCATGTGGGAATCTTAGCTCCCCAACCAGGGACCAAACCCACGTCTCCTGCATTGGAAGGCAAAGTCTTAACCACTAGTCTACCAGGGAAGTCCTTTGAATGTGTTTTGGATCATGATTTCTGTGTTTAACTGACTTGCACTGATTAAGAGAATCCTTTTCAGACTGAATTGTGGACATGTCCCTTTAGTACAGTTTTGTATTTGCTTCTGTCAAGTGTTCTGGAGGTTTTCCTGGGATTGATCTAATCCTTATATTAATTTCTCAGCTCAAGGATTCCAAGAACATTTAGGATAGTATAAATTCAAACCCTGTACCAACTTGGGACTCAGGAAAGACTTCTCCCCAGAGCCCAGGCCAAGATAGAGATGTTTCATTGTCTTATCCCTTGTCTTGTCTGGCCTTTTTGAGGGGCCAAATTTATGCATTATTTTTGCTTCTGACTTCCTAAGTTAAAATCGAAATTCCTAGATTACTGAAACTGACAGTCCCTTTCTACTCCAGATAAGTTACAGGTGAGGTTACATGAGCTTTAAGTGTTTTTTGTTTTGGTCTTTGTGTCTGACTCCTTGACAGTTCCTTTACTTTGTATACTCAACCCATGAATTAAAATTTTTTTTCAATTATATTTTATCCAACCTCTGGTGTGTTTTTAGGTTGTCTAGCTCAGCATACTGCCTGAACATGAAACTTTTATTATTTTTGTAATAAAAGTTCTTATATCCTTTTAGCTAGAGATATTTGAAGCATAGAGTTGTCTGGAAATAAACTTAAAAAATAATCATCCGTTATCAAATTGCACAAGCCAAGCATTATTGGCATCTTAAAAATGATGAATGTGGTAATTGGGAATATTTAAAACACCAACTTGAACATCAGGTTTCTTTGCTTGATTTTCTTTCAGCCAGCAAATACTGCAAAATGTTAGTTGAAGAAGAAGGATTGCAGCTTTTGTGTGACATCCGGGAGCACAGTGAGGCAGACCCCCAAGCACAGCAGATTGCAGCCTCCATTGTAGATGACTTCAAAATGCATTTTATGAATTATCAGAGACCCTCTCTTTGTTGAAGGCCCTTCTTAAGCTCAGGGCCTCAGAGGTGCTGCATCTTTGGTATCAGGCCTTCTGCTGTATCAGCAATCAAGTGTTGGATTGAAACAAGTTGTCGTTGGAGTTTGTGAGCTGAACGCCTTGTTGGCCTTATTGGGTATGATTTTCTGTAAGTTATAAGAAGTTTGGATTTGTGTGATAGCCATAATCTCAAATCAAGCTGGAATCATTCTTGGAATACCTTTTCAGTAGTTTTGAAAAATCAAGCCCTGGATTCTGTGGGAAGACCTGTAAGCTTTTGTTAGAACAGCTGTGCCAGTTAATTTTCTCTAGCCCTGACCAATTTCTTAACTGAGTATTTGTCAGAGGAAAGAAAAAAAGGAATACCTATGGAGGACCTCGGTATTTATGTTAAATTTCATGGTTGAAAGAATCTCCTAAGTTGTTATTCCTGGCTATATGAGGTTTTTGGAAAAGAAATGCATGAGAGTTCTAGGAAACATGTGTGTTTAAATGTATTGTTTGGAAGGCAGAACTCTGTTGGAGGGAATGGAAAAATTTTTTTTAATACATACCAAATTACCTTCCACTCGTTGGGTAGAGTAAAGAGAAATACATTTTTATGATTTTTGGATAGTCTACCTTTGACCTTTTTTCCTCCAACTTTACACATTAGACTGAATGAGCATAACAACATTGTGGGTAATTGGGTGTGCTGGTGGGGCATGGTCACAGGACTGACAAGTGTTTAGATGAAAGATTATATGGCGAGTATAAATCTCAATCCCTCAGATTTTTAATTTTCCAAAACTGAGAGGAAAAGGAAGGACTGTGCCAAAGATTTAAAGAGGGGCTCTTTAAAAAAAAAAGGTGCTCTTACCTACCTTGGATGAGAAAAATAACGAGCTTTTCTGAGAACCAACCTCAACCCCAGTATAAGCTATGAGAGGCTTTTGTGTCCTCTGCAAACCTGCTCTATGGAATAAAGTCCTTCCTTACCTTATTATTGGCAACCAATGAAACATGTTAAGCCATTCATCTAAATTTTTCAAAGAAACAAAATTTTTTTTAATTGGTAGCTTATTTTAGGACTAGATTTTTACACTGTAAGCTGGCCAGATTCTTAACTGGAATGTGCCATATCATCTTTTGAAATCAAATGAGATTTATTCTTATTCAAAATTGTTTTTTCAAACTATTGCTCACTGGTGTCCCACTGGATAAGGGGAATTTGTGACCTGGTTCCTTTAACAGCCCTGAAACTCCACAGATATTCTCATTCATTCTTCTGCATGATTCTAAAAATATGTCTTAGTTTCCTGACCTGGGTTCCATATGTCAGAACATGTTGTTACCAGATACTAGTTTGGGCTGATGTGAGGAAGATGAGTGGGAAATAGTGCCTGTTGAGGTCCAGTTCAGCACTGGGCACCTCTGTACATTTTCTCTGATTTCAACAGTCCTCTGGGATAGTTTTATTCTCCCCATTTAACAGGTAAGAAGAAGGAAGTACAGCAAGATGGTTACTTTCCTGAGTAGACAAATACTGCTCATGTGGTTGGTGCTGATTCCTAAGACTTGGGTTCTTGTCTTCCCTTCCCTTCCAGGAAATGAGTACAGCTTTGAGGCACATTTGTTTTTAACAGCAAGTCAACAATGTTACTTGTCTGTGTCCATGCCCATGCCCATGGTTCAGTAACTCCTGAGCCTGCCCAGGCACAGGCTTAGGAAGCTCAGATCAGTTAAAGATGACCACATGTCTCTTGCCCTGCCTTGGCATCGGAGGAGGGCTGCTGAGGCTCGTGTGCACATGTGTGTATCAGCCCCCCTTTATTTCAAAGTGCCATCATCTTGCTTACTTTTTGCTCGTGCTGTTCCCCTCAGTTTTCCTCTTCTTTGCCTCCATTGCCTGTTCGATCCTTCAGGCTTCAACTGCAGTATTACCTGTCCATTTCTTAATCTCCCATGTTGTCCACCTGAGTTAATCATTCCCTTCTCAGGGCTCCTGAAAGTTATTAAATGCACCATCAGAGATTTGCCTGCCACCCTACAGTTTACAAAAGGTTTTCACAGCAGTGATTTCACCTGGTTCTTAAAAGAACACTGTACATTAATCATAACTCATGTTTATGGAACATCAGGTATTTTATTATTATTTTTTAATCCTCACAACAGGTTCCTTGTAGTTGAGGAGGCTGAGGCAAACAGGAGTAACTGGCAGAGAGCTGAGTCTGTTCAACCACAGCCAAGGTTTCCTTATTATCTCTGTTGTACTGAGGAAGAAACGGCTGTTGTGGGGTGGTTTTTACAAGCCTCTTGCCATCTCTGGTGAGCACCTAATAACCGAGACGCAGAAGTCAGGCTTGAGTGCCAGTGCTATAAAGGCCCAGAGGGGTCTGTTTTATCCTTAGTTTATCGTTCTATTAGGGAGAGACAGGTATGCTCCAAAGCAAACCCGACTCCAGTGATGAGCTCGCCTGGCTGAGGAGTAATGAAGGGAGCAGTAGGTGGCATAGTCAGCACGCTAGTACCAGGCACCATGCCAATCATTTCCTGTCCATCATGTTCTTGTGAGGAAACTGGAACCCAGAGCGGTGAAATGATGAGGGCAGAGGTGCCGCGCATCTTCCTTCTGGATCCTGCCCTGTAAGGTGTGCTTCTCCCTTGCTTCAGGTTAAATGGAGGTCACTCGCCAACAAATCTGGGGAGGCGCTTCTCCCTGAAGGCAGCCATGCCTTCCAGCCGATCCCGGGTTGGGATGTTCTGAAACAACATACCGAGTATCAGTTTGCAGAGACAGGTCCAGAAACCAGTAAAGACTTGCTCAAGGTTGTTCAGCCCATGGTGAGGCCGAATCCCAGTCTCTCACTGTCTTTGGACTCTGGTGTTGGGTCACGCGGGCCTTGGTGGCTCCTTGGTCTCCTCACATCAGACTGTACTTGTGCACAGTGTACATGCGTCTGAGAGCCCACAGTCTCATTCACAGTCTGAAATGAGGCTACTCGGTAGAAAGCAAAGACTAGGCTTTGTGGTAAGAGCTGTGGCTTTGAATCCTGGTATACAGTTGGTTCACATCAGGTTCTACAAGTTCCCAAACCCCCGTTTAGGAGGAGTTTTTTACTTGTTAGCCTGGAGATTAATGTTTTTGACTTACTAAGGAGTAAAGGGCTAAATAGGTCAGCCACAGTTTATTGTCCCACCATCGAGCATACACAACCTGTAGGCAATAATCAAGGCCTTGGCATCCTCCAGCCTGGGCTTTAGGCTGGTACAGCCTGGCCTGTACCAGTAGCCACTGGTAAAGGGAACTCAGAAGCTGTTATTCTTCTGTCAGGTTCCTCTGTGATTCTCTGGGCAGCAAAGTAGGGCAGGGTACAGCACCATTAGATGGCTGAGGAAACAGTCCCAGAGAGTGCTCTGTGGCTCCCCTGGGATCAGTGCAGGCTGACTGTGAGGAAAGGAGTGCCGCAAAGACCGACTGTGTGGGTTGGGAGGAACCTATTCAATTGGTCATGTACTAATAGTACCCAAGGACCCTACTCTGGCCGAGCCTCTGCTTAGAAGCATGCAGGACTGGCAGCAGACACATACCTGGGCATAGCATATCCCTTCAATGGCCATCCCTGATGCAATGTCCACCTGCAAGAAAGAAGTGGTGCCTGGATCAGCCTTGCCCACCTCCATGTGCTCTGGGCACCAGCTCGCCTACTTCCTACTGTTTCCTGGATTCTTCCAGCGAAGAATTAACCGAGGCTTACTGTATGCCAACCCATATGAAGAGAGATGATGTGGTGAGGAATCCCTTACTGGAGAGGGAACACCATTCATTACAGAGGTGAAGCAGTGCTGGGATGAATGGGG